GAAGGTTGCAGTGAGCCGAGATCGCGCCACTGCACTCCAGCCTGGGCGGCAGAGCGAGACTCCGTCTCAACAATAACAACAAAATAAATAAAATAACCTCTTCCCAGAAGAGGTGCAGTTAACGTATGTACTGTTAGGTTCAGCAAATATTTATCACACTTTGTTAAATGCTAGTCATTGTGCTAAATATTAGTAGGGACCTAAGCATGATTACGAGATGCAAAGTGACATAATCTCAATTTAATATAGCGCCAACCCAAGGACAATCCCGCCAAAATCTTAGACTAAAATTAAGCAGCACCATATGGCCCAAAGGGCATTTGAACATAACTGTGTGAGTAACTGGATAAGTAACTGGCTGAGTTACTTTTCCTCTCTGGAAGTAAATTATTCTTCTTCTCTACTTTGTAAGCTCGGAAAAAATGATTTACTAACTTCAAATGCCCATTATAGAGTGCTTTTTAAACTTCTTTGTGTTACAAACCCCTTTTAAGAATATAACTAAAATTATAGCCCTTCTCCCCGGAAGAGATCACTCCCTACTTTCTGCATACAATTCCAGAGGTCTACGGCTCCCTGAAAATTCATTTAAGGTCTCCTTCCCAGTCAATGGACCTCAGGAAACAACGCATTCGAGGTAACTTTGAAGATCTGAAACCCATCCACCAGACGCGATGCATGTTTTTTTTGTTTTGTTTTGTTTTGTTTTTCAAAATACGCTTAACAAGTACTGACATCTTTCATCATGTGCGTCAGTGCAAGTCATTACAAGAAAAGTTATAATGGAAAATGCTTTGTTTAGGATAAACTGAAAAGGTGCCCGTAATGGCAGTTGTTTTGTTTTTTGTTTTTTTTTTTTTGAGATGGAGTCTCGCTCTGTCGCCCACACTGTTCTGCAGTGGCACGACCTCGGCTCACTGCAACCTCCGCTTCCCGGGTTCAAGCGATTCTCCTGCCTCAGCCTCCCAAGTAGCTAGGACTACAGGCGCCCGCTACCATGTCCTGCTAATTTTGTATTTTTAGTAGAGACGGGATTTCATCATATTGGCCAGGCTGGTCCAGAACTGACCTCGTGATCCGCCCGCCTAGGCCTCCCAAAATGCTGGGATTACAGGCGTGAGCCACCGCGCCCGGCCCGTAATAGCAAAGTTTTTAAGTGAGATGGGATACTTCAAATATGAGGACTCTGGAAAGAAGTGTTACCTCCAAAGAATCGTTGTTTACACCATAATACCACTCTCTCCAATGTCCATGGCTCTCTGGAGATTTTGCCAGTTCTATCACTGCATTGTTTGAAGAAATGCTAATCACAGGTTCTGTGGTACTCAATTTATTCTCTGGAGCAAATTGCAAAAAGAAGGAATAAACTAAGTCTTGTGTGGAGAAGCGTAATTTGTACCAGAGGGGATTCAAATCTCCTTGAAGACTTTGCGGCTGGATCCGAGGCACCTGAATGAGCAGAGTCAAGGTTTCTTTGTCCTGATTACACAGTAACGGAGGACACAAAGGCTCCCCGCTCTTGGTCCCGGGACCACCCATGGCGCGGGCTGAGGGCTCGCAGCGCTTGCCCTCCGACTCCGCGCGCGTCTCCACACCGGTATCTCCGCGCGCACTCTCTCTTCCCGCGTAAGACTCCCAGGCAAGGCCCCGGCAGGACGTACAAAGGGAGCCTCCGCCACCAGGTGAGTTCTCTCCTCCGGGAGATGGTTCCTCCACGCTGCCCGGCGGAGACCCCGCGTGCGTGCTCAAGTCCTGCTCCCCCGGCTT